CCCCCACACACACACAAAAACTCACATCTTTGATCTGTAGCCCCATGTTCACAAAGCCCAGCTTCGAGTCCCACACAGTTCTCTGGTAGAGCCGGTTCACACGCTGGATCGTTTGAATCTGGAACAATACAAACACAGGAAATACAGACACATTTTGTGGGGGGGTTGGAGATAGGTCCAACTTCTTTTCTTTCCCTCTCTTGTTTCTGTCTGTCAGTCTATCTGTCTGTCAGTCTATCTGTCTGTCAGTCTATCTGTCTGTCAGTCTTACTCATTTCCTGCACCTAAATGACCATCATTTTGTCCATGTGCTTCTTTTTACTCATACTAGCAAACAGACAGACAGACATATTTGTTAGCTTTAGTAAGGTTTTACGGCACTCGCAATTGCATACAGTCATATGAGCGCCAGGGGTGGATGTCAACAGAGAAGTAAAAACAGGGAATCAGGCTTACTCTATTCACCTCTCTAGCCTCAACAGCACAAAGTCTGCTTCCACTATCAAGGCACCTCGGAAATAGTGGGTCACAAGAGTGTGACAAACATATAAAAACAACAACAACTCAAAACGTAATTAGCCGTCCTGTCGGTGGAACCACCAGCGCCCCACCAGTGCCAGCAACAACAACAAAAACAACAACAGCAACAACAACACCACCACCAGCATCACTAACAGCAACAACAAAAACAACAGCCACACCACAACCACCAACAACAACAACAGCAAAAGCAACAACACCACCACCACCACCACCACCAACAGTAGCAGCAGTAGCAGTAGCAGCAGCAACAACAACAACAACAACACCACCACCAACAACAATAACAACAAGAACACCACCACCAACACCAGCAGCAAAAACAACGACACCAGCACCATCAACAACAACAACCAACACCACCACCACACCACCACCACCACCAACAACAGAAACAACTACACAACCACCAACAACAACAACAACAACAACAACTCACAATGTAATTAGCTGTCCTGTGTGTGGAACCACCACCAGGCCCGTTGAAGAAAGTCACGTCTGCTACAGCGATGATGTGACACGTGTTGAGAGGGGTGGCGCGTCGCACACGCTTCAGTGGCTTCTCTGCGGAGACAGAAAAACTTCCATTTTAGTTTCAGAGAGTTTTAAAAATTTTTAGTAAGTGTTTTACGGCACTTGCAACACAATAAGGTCATATAAGTGCAGAAGATTAGAGGTGTTACAAGGGAGTAAAAAACACAAAAAAGGAGGGGAGATAAGGATGATAGATGTTTGATAGGAAAGAAGGAGCAAACCACACCAGAGCACCCGCCAACCACCCACTAGTAAGGTTTCACTGCGCTTGCAACTGCATAAAGTCAATAGAGAAGTCCATACGGGGAATCAGGCTTACTCTTCTCACATCTCTAGCCTCAACAGCACAACGTCTGCTTCCACTATCAAAGCACCCCGGAAATAGCAGGTCACAAGAGTGTCACAAACATGCAATTGCAGTAGAGGGAAAATGACGATAGTGAGGCTGAGGAAAGAAAAAGCAGCAGTTCTCCCTGTGTTGTTCCGGTACAGTATGAGCATGACATTGATTAATCAGCCCAACTGTTCAACTGTACATAAGAACATGTTAATGTCCCCCTTTTGGGAATGGCCTAAAGAGACTTCAGTCAGTAGCACTGCCCTGGGGGGGGGGTCAATATTCTGGGGGTTTTAGTTTTAGTAGAGGGTTTACGGCGCTGGCAACATTCTGTGATACAAAGTTATGTAAGTGAATCTTGTGAAGAACAAGATGACAAAAAAAGGAGACAATCAGAAGGAGAAAAAGAACAGATCAACCAGAAGCAAAAACTGGTTAAGAAAGAAATGAGGCCCACATTTAACTCAGTGCGACTGCTCCAATCACACACAGTGCACCAGCTGGATTTCCTCAGCTTTTTTTAGGGGGGAGGGCTTTGCCCATCTAATTTTCCATGAATATTTGCAGTTCACAATTTGGTTTGAATTATCCACTGTCATACGTTCAAATGAAGTGTCATCTGTTCCCCTTTTCAAACTTTACAAATGATTTAGATTCGTAAATTTCTCTAAAAAATGCAAATTTAAGTCATACAAGGAAAAAAAACCAGAATACAGTACGCCCCGTAGGTTTCACAATGATAAATGCCAGGCCAGCTGTAACGCACTGTAAAAGATAATGGTTTTTATCCCAAAAAGTCCGCAGTACCTTCCGTCTGTTCATCATCTTCCCCCTCCTTTTCATCGACATCATCAGACTCTTCCAGGGCAATGTCATCTTCTTCGTCTACGTCAGCATGCAAAGAGTGACAGATCTTTTTCCTGTAAAAAAAGACACATTAACTCTTTAAGGAATGTAGCAGACACATATGTGTCACAACGCGGTGGAATCAGGCGCTCGTCAATCTTTGGGCATGTGGAGTTATTGATATCATCTGAAAGCTGATTTATTTGCCTTGCTTCCATTTAAAGAAATATCCATTTATCTTGAATAGAACATAAGATATTAGCGACTGAAGAAAGTGAGGTCGTCTGGTTTCAGTGGCGAAATTAGCGAGAAAATGCCTGCCAAAGTCTGATAACTCCAATAGCTAAAGAGTCTGAAAATTTTCCAGTAAAATACACATACTTTACTTTACTTTACTTTATTTTTCTGATCCAGTGGCCATTTGGGTTCTAGCCCTTCGGTCTGGTAAAATACACATGAAAATGTGTCTTTATACGGACATAAGATAAAAGAGGTTAAGCCAAAAAATAAAAATTCGATAAAAACTTCCAAGCTAGCGAAAAAATTCTTGTTTCTCCGATTTTGTTATTTTGACGAGCGTCTGATTTCACCACGCTGCCTCACATGTGTCTGATCAGAAACAGACGAAAAAAAATGTTGCAGCACATTACGAACCATAACACACAAATCAAAAACATAAATTTGCATATTTCATAGCGAGACTGTTTTGATCATAGAATGTACTTATACATATACATATATATATATATACATAATGCTGTGTTTTACGTACAATGTCGATTAATTTTGAAGACGTGATGTCTTTTTTTGATGTAATGCGCATTGAGCATTTTTTAGAAAATGGAAATGCGCAGCAGAAACGCTATTTATTATTAAGTTGCCTACCTTTTTAAGTTTCAAATAAAGAAAATAAAACTGAAAAAAAATAAATTATATATATATATATATATATATATATACATGACAACGAAGATGTGCCACTTTTGTTTAACAGCCCCAAAACAGTATGTCTCCAAACGTTGTTAAATGATTAGATCAGAATGTGTGTTCTCAAGAAATATTTCTTCGAAATTAAAATTCTAAATGTTAAAAAAGGCCCCCAGAAACACATCGTGTAGATACAAGTGTCAAAAGATGGAAATGACTTTTCTCTCTCCTAAAACATTTTGCTTGGTGGACTTAGTACATTTAGGTTTAGTTCTAGTAAGAGTTTTACGGCACTTGCAGCACAACAAGGTCATATAAGTGCCGAAGACTAAACATGTTACAAGTGAGTAACAAATACTAAAAAAGGAGGGGGAAAGAGAAGGACGATAGTTTTTTTATAGGAAAGAAGGAGCAAACCACACCAGAGCACCCTCCAACCACCCACTTAGTACATTTGAACAATAGACCGACATTAGGCTTACAGTGCCGAGTGTATGTAATAAAGGCACTCAGGAAGAAATTTAAGCGCATATTCTTGTTTGTTTGTTTGTTTGTTTGTCGTGATCTCAGTGCTTTCTTGTTGTATCTCCATTGAATTGTTTTCACGGTTATTAAAAATGGAGATACAACAAGAAAGCACCGGGGTTGTGTTGTGTGTTTGCTTGAGTAGAGAAAAGGAAATCGACACAATAATAGTCGTTGAATGCTGGGAAATAGTCAGACAGAAAAAAACAGGAAGAAAGAAAAGAAACAGGACCTGCAAGTAGCACCCTCCAACCACCCCACACGTTTTATTTTTGTTTGTGTGTTTGTCTGTTTGTTTGAGTAAACAGAAGGAAATCGACACAATAATAGTCATTGAATGCTGGGAAAGAGAAAGACAGAAAAAACAGGAAAGAAAGAAAAGAAACTGTAATAAAGTGACAATAAATCTGTGTAATAATCGTACTGAATAGAGGGACATAAATCTTCTAAGTAGTAACCTATTAATTATCATGATTGTGTCCCCTTTAGCCACTGGTCTGTTGTGTAACTCTTCTGAATAAAGTTCAGTTCTGGTGTACCCTTGATGGCTGCCTCCATGAATTCGATGAGCTTAGTGCTTGTACTAGACAATCAAGTCAATCTATTACAGAAACGGGACCTGCAAGTAGCACCCTCCAACCACCCGCACGTATTACCTTTGACCGGGAGTCTTCTTCAAGTCCGGGAAGATGTTGTCCCAGAGAATGTCCGAGTGTTTGTAGACGATCATGCTGTGGTTGTCTGACCGGGGCAAGTGGCGCCATGACGGCTGTGAACACAGCGGCGAAGGAAAAAAGAGTTTTAGTTTTTTAGTTTTAGTAGAGGTTTTACGGCACTCGCAACAACATAAGGTCATAGGAGCGCCTGAAGATTAGAGGTGTTACAAGAGAGTAACAAACATAAAAAAGAAGAAGGGGAGATAAGGATGAAAGATGTTTGAAAGGAAAGAAGGAGCAAACCACACCAGAACACCCACCAACCACCCACTGGAAAGAAGAGAAAAATATGAGTGAATAATAAGATGACAGCGTCTGGGGAATAGTCCAGACCAGTCTCCCATCTGTGAGAACAACATTACCACAAGCTCAGAGTCAGAGCAACATCACTGTCTGCATCCTGTGTATACTTTGTCAAATGTGACTGAAAGCCCCGCTTCTAGACTGACAAAATGCAAATAAATAGGGGTCACGACGTGGTGGAATCAGGCGCTCGTCAATTTTTTGCCATATTGAGGTATTGTTATCAGCTTAAAGGTTGTTCATTTGCATTGTTTTCGATGAAAAAATATATATATCCATTTATCTTGAACAGAAATCGAGATATTTGCAATTAAAGGAGGTGGGGTCACCTGGTTTCAGAAGTAAAATTAATGAGAAAATGGTGCAAAAGTTTGGTGACTTCCATCGCTTATGAGTTCTTGGAGATTGCAAATTTACTTTTTTTTGGTGCCTTTAATAAGATAAGATAAGATAAGATAAGATACATCTTTATTGTCCAGATCTTGGCACATTGGTAGAATTGGGGTCTTAGGGAGACGGGGTGCTAATCAACGTTTTTCCGTAAAATCTGCACACAAAAGTGTTACAACATGGACATACAAGATGACAAGATGTTGAGCCACAAAAAAAATTCGAAAAAAATTTCCAAAGGGGCAGAAAAATGCTGATTTCTCGGCCAGATTTCAGTATTTTGACGAGCGCCTGATTTCACCATGGTACATCACGTGTACTATGAACGTGACAGAAGGCCCTGCTTCTAGATTGACAAAATGCAAATAAATATTTGACGCAGCGAGGGGAAATCAGGGGCTCGTCATAATAATGATATCGAAGAAAACAGCGTTTTCTCAAAAAGACCAACTGACCTCTAGCGTGTAGGTGTCGTTTTTGTCGTAGATGTTGGCAGTCCACAGCCCTTCCTCCGCGAGAGCATCAGTCTTCACGTCTTCATCCTCTGAGGAATCAAACTCACAGTGAGAACAGGAAACTGGTCACTTTTACTATTTGCGTCTTGACAGGACGGATGATCTTATAGCAGTATGCATAATACAGCTTTGCCTGAGCGGTAGACGGACACAAAGCAGATCAACCAAGAAAACAAAATATTAGAAGCAAAGGGGCACTCTCAGCACTGGAAAAAAATCTTGCAAGCAGAAAATATGAGAAAGGAAACTAATGGCCACTGATAAGCAAACTCTAATTTTCCCAAACCATTCCCGCATTCTAATGTCACAAGGAGAAAGAGAATACATATAATATGATAACCACAACGGAGGAAAAAAGGAACATCAACATTTATTTTAAAAACATAAGAAAAGGCAAGTCCCAAGAACACCAAACCTACCTCTAAAAAGTCTGAAAGGTTAAAATCTACCAGCTAATGAGAGAGACAATCAGCCTGCCCACACTGAAATGGACCCTTATGAAGAGGGGCGAGGAAGCATGGGGCACCCTGTCTCCCTAAGACCCCAATTCTACATTCAAGTATTCAAGGTCAAAATCTCTAAAAAGCAACAGTAAAGGCTAAGAGAAGGTTTTTATTTCAATGAACAGAACTGGTAACTTGTCACTCACCCGACAGGTGTCCTGTGTAAAAGTTATTCTGGCTGATGTACAGCGGTGCAGAACTTCCATCACCGTTCACCAGGTGGGCCTGGAAGCCAGCAGCAAGGACCGGCGACCCGGGGGTCAACACAAGATTGAACTCCCTGCAGATCATTACACATGGAACAATGACCAAATAAGGAAATTAAATCTCCTCAGATCACATTACACATGGGAGAATGACCAAATAAGGAAATGAAATCTCCTCATTACACATGGAATAATGACCAAATAAGGAAACGAAATCTCATCCGATCACATTACACATGGAAGAATGACCAAATAAGGAAATGAAATCTCCTTACATACACATACTCACACTCCTCAACACACAGACACACACAGACACACATACTCACGCACACACACACATACAGACACACACACACTCCTCCACACATACACTCACGCACACACATACACACACACATACACACACTCCTCCAGACACACACAGACACACACACACACAGACACACACACATACATACACACACGCATTATACACACAAACACACACACACTCCTCCACACACACACACACAGATGCACACACACACACACACACACACACACACACCCTGTCTTAACATACCTGCCGAGAGCAGCAAAACTAATGTCCTTGGTGCCAGTACCATGATCTCCTCCACCCACACTTCTCCGCTTACGAACTCTCACATCCACATGGCTGAGGGTCTCGTAATACTTCAGCTGACGCCTCAGTTCAGCTGCCAAAAGATTAAAATCTTTAGTAATATCTTTAGTTTCAGTAAGAGTTTTACGGCACTTGCAACACAATAGCATCATATATAGGTGCCGAAGATTAGAGGTGTTACAAGAGAGTAACAAACACAAAAAAGAAGGAGGGGAGAAAAAGACAATAGATGTTTGATAGTAAAGAAGAAGCAAACCACACCAGAGCACCCGCCAACCACCAATGCCAAAAGATTGGTCAGAGACTCACCGCAATGTTGAGGAAAAGTATTGAGAGAGTAAGCACAGTAAGCAGTGAGGGTGTATGTGTGTGTGTGTGTGTGTGTGTGTGTGTGTGTGTGTGTGTGTGTGTGTGTGTATGTTGTGTGTGTGCGTGCGAGTGTGTGTGTGTGTGTGTGTGTGTGTGAGAGTGTATCATGTGCAAGTGTGTGTGGGCGTAAGTGTGTGTGTGTATGTGTGTGTGTGTGTGTGTAAGCAAAGAGTGTGCGTGTGTGTATGTGTATATGTGTAAGTGTGTGTGTGTGTGTATGTGTGTGTATGTGTGTGTGTATGTGTGTGTATGTGTGCGTGTGAGCTTGTGCGACAGTGGGTGTGTGTTGTGTGTATGTGCGTTAATAGGTGTGTGTGTATGTGCGCGCGCGGTTAGTGTGTTAGTGTGCGTGTACGACATTCAAAAAACGAGAAAAATCGCGAATGCGCGCACGCACGCGTCGCGCAAGAGAGAGAGAGAGAGAGAGAGAGAGAGAGAGAGAGAGAGAGAGAGAGAGAGAGAGAGAGAGAG